CTACTCGAAATCATCGCCACCAATCAAACCGTACGGGATTTCGAATGCACGAGTTGGAATGCCGTAGACGCGCACGAACGATCGCGACTCTCGTCCGCAAGCTCGATTCGCACTCGCCAGCATCGCGAAACCGGGATGCAACATATGCAAGGAGGAACATTACACGTCTTCTTGCAAGAAACTCGAAAACGCGACAACGGAGCAACGACGCGACATTATAAAAGGCGCGTAATTATGCTCAAATTGTCTACGGCCAAATCACATCGCCAAAGACTGCCGTTCGAGCACGTGTAGGAAGTGCAACGCGAAACATCACACGTTGCTGCATGAAGATTCGCGGCCCAGTACAAGTTCCGCACAGGCAAACGTATCTAGCTTATTCGCGCAAACAGCAGCAAACGGTCTACTATCAACCGCGATAGTAGACGTCACCGACAAATTCGGTCGTACACATTCGTGCAGAGCTTTGATCGATCCGGGTTCGCAGTCTCACTTTCTGAGTAAACCTTTAGCTCAAAAGTTGCAGCTCGATCGAAAAGAAGTAAACGTGCCGGTACAGGGTATACACAGTATGAGGAAGCTGATACCAGAATCTGTAACCATCACGGTACAATCGCGACGTACAGATTTCACGATAAACATAGATTGCCTAGTGTTAGACTCTCTAAACCACATCTTACCAGCTCGATACATCAACAGAAAAAACCTCGAAATTCCGAAAACTATCAAACTCGCGGATCCACGATTTCATAAACCAGGTCCAATTGATTTAATAATAGGCGCGGAAATTTACCACGAATTTATTTCAGCAGGTAAAATTTCACTCGCGAACAATTCCGGCGCCTTATTAAAGACAAAATTCGGGTGGATAATCATTGGCAGAATGCACGACGGATTTCCTCACGGTACCATCTGCAATTTATCCACTCACGCGCTCGATCAAACAATTAAAAAATTCTGGGAGATCGAGGAAGCTCCCACGAAGAAACTGTTTTCGGACGAAGAATCCGCGGCTGAAAACCATTATAAACAGCACACGCGACGCGATTCCGATTCCGGAAAATACATTGTTAGTCTTCCCTTTAAGGAAGAACACGCACTTGGCGATTCATACGCAACCGCTCTCAAACGATTTTACTCACTCGAGAAAAACCTCGCGAAAAACACGGACCGCAAGCAGCTATACGTTGATTTCATGAACGAGTATGCTGTCTTGGGTCATATGTCCGAACAACAACACGACAATAAACGTGAGAGCTATTATCTGCCGCATCACGCAGTATTCAAGGAGAGTAGCCTCACTACGAAGCTCCGCGTTGTTTTCGACGGTTCGGCGCGCACAGCTTCAGGAAAATCGTTAAACGACACGCTCATGGTTGGCCCCACAATACAAGACGATCTTTTCGCGTTAATAATTCGCTTTCGCTCGCACACATACGTCTTAACCGCGGACATCACCAAAACGTACCGACAGACGTGGATTCATCCAGACGATCGCCAATGTCAAAAGATATTGTGGCGAGATGATCCAATCAAACCCATCAAGACCGACACACTCAACACAGTGACATACGGAACATCCGCGGCACCGTTTCTGGCGATACACTCGCTTCATCAATTAGCCGATGACGAGGCGTCTCTATTTCCGAAGGGAGCAGCCATAATGAAAGCAGATCTTTACGTCGACGACTTATTAACTGGAGCACGTACCTACCATGAGGCAGAGTCGATTCGCGACGAAGTCGTACAACTCGCGAAAAAGGGGGGTTTAGAACTCCGAAAATGGGCATCCAATGATTCGCGCTTAATTAAAATATCAGAACCGCGACTCGATACCACGGTTGTGCGTCTAGACACAACCGAGACCACCTCAATTCTCGGAATACATTGGAATCCATCACGCGACGCATTGATATACACATTAAAATCAGTAAACAAATTAACACGAATAACCAAACGGACAATACTGTCACAAATCGCGCAATTGTTTGTTCCGTTAGGATTAATAGGACCAGTAATAGTATGGGCGAAACTTCTGATGCAACGACTGTGGCAATTACGCGTGGATTAGGACGAATCCGTTCCAATGGATATCGCTACCGCATGGGAAATGTACCGCGAACAGCTACCGTCCCTCCAAGGCTTCGAAATACCACGGGAAACACTTGTTCGCGACCATGATCACGTCGAACTGCACGGGTTTTGCGATGCTAGAGAGAAAGCGTACGGATCGTGCATCTACCTAAGATCGATCAATCGACAGCGCGAGATCACAGTCCGACTCGTGTGCTCGAAATCTCGTGACGCGCCTCTAAAGTATATTTCATTGCCACGCCTCGAATTATGCGGAGCTGTCCTCCTAAGCAACTTATACTCCACGATAACACACGCGTTACTTCATATTAAAATTAACAAGGTCTATTTTTGGTCAGATTCCACGATAGTGCTTAGTTGGATAAATTTATCTCCGCACACGCTAAAAACATTTGTAGCGATCCGGGTTGCCGAAATACAATCGGTAAGCGTCGCAAGTCAATGGCGGCACGTGCCGTCACTCGACAACCCAGCGGACATAATCTCGCGTAGTACCATGCCAGCTGAATTGCAAACAAAATTAATGTGGTATAATGGACCATCGTGGCTCGAACACTCCGAAGAACAGTGGCCCGCGAACGCGATTCAACTCCTCGAACAAGTTCCCGAACAACGTCCGGTAATCGCTTGCGTCGCGTCGATTAACGCGTGCGATGTATTGAAAAAATACTCCTCGCTGATAAAAACAAAACGTATCATCGCTTACTGTCGCCGTTATGCCCATAACTTATCCAGCAAGCGCACACACAAACCAAAACTCTTTGGCGCACTCTCGATCGAAGAACTCGAAAGCGCGATGGATACTATAATAAAGATGGTCCAACGCGAAAATTTTGCTCCCGAATTCAATTCGTTATTGTCAAACGGTACGACAAAGGGTCCGTTCGCGAAACTGAATCCTTTCGTGGATTCAGGGGGGATAATCAGAGTTGGAGGTCGAATTTCGCGCTCCGATTTGCCACACACGACAAGACATCCTGCATTAATGCCGGGAAAACACGAAATCACGGAACTCGTCATACGCGATAGGCATCACGCCCACTATCACGCCGTCATCCAGGCCACTCTCGCTGCAATAAGAGAGCAGTTCTGGGTGGTTAACGGAAAAACAATGGTAAAACGCGGAATATACCAATGCGTAACGTGCCGTCGCGCTAAACCAGTCATGCTCAATTACAACATGGCCGATTTACCGAGGGACCGCGTTACCTGTAGCCGACCGTTCTCGTCCGTGGACCTCGATTATTGCGGTCCAATACATACAAAAGAAAAACGTCTTCGAAATCGAAATAAAATCAAGGTTTACATCGCGATATTTATATGTCTCGCAACTAAAGCCGTTCACATACAAATAGTCAGTGATCTCACGACCGAAGCCGTCATCGCGGCACATAGACGATTTTTCGCTCGTCGCGGGAAACCGGCTCACATCCATTCCGACAACGCTACAACTTTCGTCGGAGCCAATCGCGAATTAAAAGAGCTATCCGCGATGATAAGGGACCGACGCGAACACATCGAAACAAATTTAGCAAACGACGGAATCAAGTGGCATTTTATTCCACCGCGATCGCCACACTTCGGCGGCCTTTGGGAAGCCGCCGTAAAGTCTTTTAAACATCATTTTTCACGTGTCATCGGTGAAACGCTGCTCACATACGAAGCGCTTCATTCTTATGCAACTGAAATAGAAGCCATTTTGAATTCGCGACCGCTAACTTCCTTATCCTCGGATCCTAACGATTTCAACCCGCTCACCCCCGCGCACTTCCTAATCGGTGGTCCGCTGACAAGCATCCCTGAGCATGACTTCAGGGATACGAATGTCTCGCAGCTGTCAACGTGGCAGCATGTCCAGAAAATGAAGCAACATTTTTGGACTCGCTGGCACAAGGAATACCTGCACGAGTTGACCGTACGCCGAAAATGGCATCGTGGTCAAACCAACGATCTGCCAGTCAACACCATGGTCATCCTACACGAGGACAACGCGCCGCCGATCCGGTGGCCTCTTGGACGGATCACGGAGGTTCATCCTGGAGAAGATGGTGTGATCCGAGTAGCAACCGTGCGAACCACGAACGGAACGTACAAACGTTCAATTAAAAAACTCTCGCCTCTATTTTTGAACAACTGAACTGAACGTTAGTTATATAGCTAGTTGTAGTACTGTACTAATTATAAGACACGTAACATAGAGACTAAGCTCATTACTAACACTATTGTACATATAATAATACTATCAATACTATTGAATCGCGACACGCCTGCACTCGATACTCATTACATACCACACGTTACTACACTATCAATACTCGACCTATTCTACCATAACCATACTTCGCGCTAATTCAACTATACTCGATCGAACCATTGAACGCAAGCCGTTCAAGGGGGGCGGCATGTTACGTCGTAACAAAGGACGAATACCTTCATGCATCGCACTTGTAGTTTTCCTAAAAAACAATAATTCTCACCACTTAAATTCCCGCTGGTACATGCTCGATGAATATACATCTGCGTTGCAGATGTAAGTCCATCGACGTTCCAAAGGGGACACCGGAAACCAAGAATGCGTAAAATAAACCTTTTCAATGGCCTACTTCCAATCGTGGATGTAGGTCCCATCTATGTCACCAAGGATGCGCCGTCGGAGTTCTCACGCAAGGTACGCAAACCTTGACAAGGACTTCGACGGTCGTAACACGGCGCGAAAATAATAGAAGTCCCTTTTGAAGCGTCGAACGGTCAAGTCTCGGCACTTGTGGCATGGCGCCGTTAGGGCTAAACTCTCGAGACACAAGCCAGGCCCTGCCATAAAGTATCGAGAAAACCGAGCACTTCGCGTTAGTCACGGAAGTGCATGGTGGTAAGCGTGCCCCTTCCCTCGTTTCTATCTCTCATGGGGTGGAGACAAAGTCGACCAATTAGGTCAAATTTTGTGCTTCACCCCCATCGGAGCCTCGAAGCGTAGAGAGGGAAATCGCGCTTCCCTCAGGAGGAATCGTCCTCCGAAAAGACAGAACATTTTTAACACTCGCCGTAAAAAGAACAATTTCAACACTCGTAGAAAATAGACCAAAGTCTCGTACCTAAACTAACTCGTAGACCTAACTCGTACACCGGCAAAAAAAACTCGATCGTTCTCGTACAGACTCGATCAGCTTCCTTCTGAAGCTCGTGGTTTGCGAACTGATTAAGTCGCCGGCCGATTAAGTTGCCCGGCGAAGTGGACGTTTCCCTCGTGGATCACCGAAAGTCGCACGAGTCAGGAAATTCCACCATCACGGCGTTACTCTGACACCCGAGTCGGAAAAAGGGAGCATCTCGCAACAATTTCGTTGTATACATTTAGCTGAAGGAATAATTTTTAAAGTGAAATATTTCATTAAGTGTATTTGCCCACACCATCGATGTTCTTATATTCGAAGCCGTGGTCCAGAATGCATAGCAGAATCGTACGCCATTCAGAGTACGACAATTGCCGCAGTATGTTATATGAATGTCGCGAAGAAATACTATCGCCTAGCCGATGTTATAGGTGTATATTCCCTTCGTTTAACTGTAACACGGCAACCGTGTGAGATATTGAAGAAACAAGCACACCTTTGTAATCGGTATCAAAAAGAGGTAAGAATTCGTTGGGAATATTTATTTGTAGCGATAATTTTTAAAGTCGAAATATTTAATTATCTGTATAAATACAAAGGTGTGGTTTGTTTTTTCAATAGCACAGACGGTACCTGTGTTACTGTTGAACAAAGCGAATGTACACATATAACGTCACGATTGGAGATATTATTTCTGCGCGGTTTTCTCGTACCGTACCGGTGCGATGCTCGTACTCTATATGGAGTACGATTTTGCTATGCATTCTCGGCATCGGCGTCGAATTTTCGAACTACGATGTGGG